AAGCCCCACAGAGAAGTATTGCAGATAACTACCTGAATGGCGTTGGAATTGAATGCTTGGTGTGGCCAACTGGAAGTCCAGATTTGAACCCAATCGAACACATTTGAGACCAATTTAAGCGACGAGTACGAAGGCGAAACCCAGGCCCTAACACCCTAGAAGAGTTGAGAGTTGGAAACGGCTGTTCTTCATAAATGAGAAAGAATTCCTCAGGATTTCATCAGAATTCTTGTCCAAGCAATGCAAAGGCGTGCAATGAACGTGATTCGGGCTAGAAGTGAAAATACTCGGTGTTAAAGGGGACAAAAAAAATTTTAAACATTTATTATTTGATTTTGAATTGTCTGTTTTTTCTTTACTCAATAATTGATTTTTTAAAATTAGGTTATAAACATTTTGTTTTTGAATGTCTTATTTTTATAACCAATCCTATTTTTGGTATGCCAAATATGAAGGAACTTAATACATTAAAATTTAAGGATGGTACGTTAATTTTGCCCATCAGTGTATTTAGGACTATATTTCCAGTACTTTATTGACAGATAATTACCACAAAATAGTAAGAAAAAAATAGTTTAAAATTAAAAACGTTAATGAAAACGGTAAAATTTAATATATGTCCAAAATATTAAGAGTTTTTTTGTTGTTCTGTTATTCAAATATATGTAATCATTACGAAGGCCGTAGAACTAATTAATTTAGTGCAGTAAAAAAGACACGCCATGCAGGTACAAACATTTATTGGAATAAAATATTTTAAAAACTAAACTGTCTTACAAATCGTATCAAGTAACGAAACTCTTTAAGTAGATTGAGGGAGACATAACGTAACAATAGACAAAGAAATAATTCACATTAAAATGTATACAATATTTAACGTAGTGCTAATAACACTAAATATATATGCTCGAGCACTGTTTACAGTTGTTTTTTTTATGGTTAACAGTTCTGGAACTAAAAGAAGTTTTATTCAAACACAGATTCTCTATTACGGATTTCCATAGCTTGGACTGTACTACTTTAGACAAAATACTAAATATACATATTAAATAAAAAAATTGTTTATATACATTGGGAGGTAATGATCTTAATAGTGTTACATATTATATGGTTGAATTTAAAGGGAATCAGCATTCCTATTTTGTACAGAAAAGGGCGAAAATTCATTTCCAGCGATGAACGTCTCCGGCATTGACCCGAGTGTAATCAGTCCTTGTAACATTTAAACAAAGCTCACGACTAAATTTGTCCCTCTGTCATCTGGTTCTAAATTCTGATTCTAGTGCATCCGCATTCAGCAATAACAAAGCTGTGCCTACTGAATTCCTATTGCCTAATAATAAATAAGCTCACTATTGAGGGGCTTATGATTTTATCACTACTGATTAGTCAAATTTAGCAAATCAATATTTAAACTTTTTTTAAATTCATTTATTTACTTACAACTGCACTTTAAATATATGTACAACAAGCAAAAATATTGAAATTGTTATTATATTGTGTGAATGTGCACGCAATGTTGTATGCACGGACACACAAATGTATGTTAGACATGAACGGTGTCCATCCAGTGATGAGAGTCGTAAATTCACCAACAGGGTGGAGTCACTTGGCAACTATCCTTTGCCGATGTTAGGCAACTAAGTTGTCGCGTGGCCAACGTCGCTTCAGTCTCCGACGAGGATTGCCGGGTAATGTTGAGGATGACAATTCGCGGATTAAAGGGTTTGAGTGATTCGGTATTTTAGAATGAAAAATTTCTGGGGGAAAATTAGCCACTCATAAGTTCTTTTTGATGCGTTTACCAAGGACATCGATGACTCGTTGCCTGTAGTGTCGTCTCCAATATCATCATTTTGGTTCATTTTTTTCCAGGAGTATCGTCATTCAGTGCTATCGTGCTTTTAATAACAATTGCACTCATCAGCTAAGTAGTCAATGAATTTAAAAATTCAATAAAAAAAGATAAATCATGCAAAATAGCAAAAACTGAGTAACAAATAAATATTATATAGTTATACAGAATAAGGGTTTGATCTGCACGATAAAACCCGTCGATGAACTCTATTAGCTTTTTTTTTCAATGGTAACCTACAATCACACAAAACATCTTAAACTCTGGAAACTGGAACTTCATTCGTTACGAGTTTCTTCGCGTTTTCGATAACTTTATAAAACCCAAAAATTTAGAACAATATTTTTAGTAATAATAGCTTCCTACAACTTTTCTGGCTGCTGGATCAGTTGGAGCCAAGTTTGTAATTCAGTCAATATTACTTAAATAAAAGTATAGTTGGTTTACAATCTATGCTAGACTTTCTTCTTTCTTCGTTCAAAAATATGAAGATTGTATCTATTAGCAGTCGGAACGCTTTCTTTCATTCGGGATTCAAAAGTTCTTGCTTGCTCAAAGATCAAGAAAAACCTTTTATAATTATACGTAGTACACTCCTGGTAGGCGTTGTCTGTCAAGAGTCATACAGCAAGTGATGGACTGTTTGTGGTTTACGACCGACAGCCATGGCCGCTTAAGATTTGTGTCAATTTGTATCTAAAAATTTGTTCCTGTATAAATGGACGGTAGAAATTCTCCGTTGGACAGCGATTGTCCGACAGTTCCTCACTGAAGATGGCGCAATGACGAAACCCGTAATAGTAATCCAAGAAACCCGCGATTGAAGACGTAGACAATAAGTGACCCTATGCCGGCTCAGCAGAAATTCTCCGGTCAATCTCCCTTTATTCGACGACTGCCAGTTTCGGTCCCATTTCTCTCTGCTGATTGCCTCCAGTCTAGATATTAGATTGTGTGTGTATTAAATATAAAACTGAATTTCTCATTTCCTCCTTCGTTTTATACAAGTTTTATAAAACTTACATATGTATTTATTTGGAAAACAAGCTAACCGTTCACCACCATTGCTTATCTCTAGTGTAAACTTGTATTACATGGGCTATCATGCCTATAATTTTTATTGTATTGTTCAATTTTTTAAAAATATTCATGCTTATCGTTAAGTAATAGTTATATGTTTAAACTTGTATTTTTTTGAATGTGCTGTTCTTTTCTTGCGTTCTATTGCCAAACGAAACGTATATTCTGTCATAATTGTGTCAATGACGGAATCGGACTTTTTCCCCCCAACCAGAAAGGAAGAAAAATGGTCATCTCTCCTAATCAAAAACTGACGCCGGGATCGCCTTTAAATTGGCCTTGAAAAACTCTGGTTCCGCATTTTTCAATTAAAACGTATGTCGAAGAATTAGTTCTCGTTGGAATAGAGTCGAGAAATGAGTAAATCCAACTATGAACAAAAATACAAATGTGATTCAAATTCAAAACAAAAATAAAATTGCATGAAGGTCTTGCACCCATTTCACTTAAAGATTCACGTCAGAGGTTTGCAGAGTAGTATCAAAAATCAAAGTAATTCATTTATGATGACTTGCCATTACATCTTGGTTTGGCATATATCAAAATAACAGAATTAAAATAAATATAACAATGGAAATCAGAGACTAATAAAAAAAAATCAAAATATAAAATAACCACAATAAAAATCAAGTTTATAAAATAACCACAATCCTACTTTTTTACGACTGTTATATTATGTGTAATCCCACTTTCAAAATTTCCAAAATTGTTTTATATCCCTAGATTTACTTTATTACGACAATGGGAGAATATATTTGGTATTTAAGTTTACTTACACACGACAAAATAAAAACAGTGAGTGCACGAAGAAGTGTGAATGGTAAAAGAGAGATAACGAGTGTGTGAGAAGAATGAACATAATGTAGTTAGGAGATTAAAGAGATGGAATGAATGAATGCGGTTTTAGAATTTGGTCAAATACTGAACACTCTTACATTCTCTACATTCTCATGCAGAGAGTCATATAGAGAGAGCGAGAGAGAGAGCGAGAGAGAGAGAGAGAGAGAGAGAGAGAGAGAGAGAGAGAGAGAGAGCTGAATAATTGTAAGAAAGACGGAGAATGTGAATACTAGAGAAATTGAAATATGTTGAGGAAGAGCGAGCGTAAATGTACAATGAGTGTGATAAGCAAATGAGAGAGAGTGAGAGACAGACAAACAGCGAGAGTGAGTGAGTGGGGAGAGAGGTAGAGAGAGAGAGAGAGAGAGAGAGAGAGAGAGAGAGAGAGAGAGAGAGAGAGAGAGAGAGAGTGAGAGAGAAAGTGAATGAGGAGATTGAGGTAAAAAGGAAAGAGTGAGAGAGGCACACACACACAGGCAGACAGACAGACAAACAGACAGAGAGAAGAGAGTAAGATAGAGAGAGAGAGAGAGAGAGAGAGAACAGAGAGCGTGAATGTGTGAATGAGGAGAAAGATGTAAAGAAAAAAGAGAAAGAGAGAGAGAGAGAGTGAATGAGGAGAAAGTGGTAACGAGAAAAGAGAGAGAATGAGTGAGGGAGGGAGAGAGTGAGAGAAAGATGAAAGACAGAGATAGAAAGAGTGTTACATTATTCATATTTAGGATTTGTTAGAGTTATGTTTGGAGGAATATCTACTATTACCAGGGATTTTAACTTAAACGCTACTCGCTTTAGTACAGTTTAATAAAGTAATATGAGTTTTTATAGACGAATTAGTTCATTTTATGTATATAAACGCCTGACCCAAATAACGAAAATGATCAAATTAAAAAGCACTTATTTGAAAAAGCAAGGGGGGAATTAATGAACGCATATTTATGTACATATGTATAAGTAGAATCAATCCAAAGGAATACAAATTTTAAATTAGATCTGAAATAACACATGAAAAGCCCGGTCGTCTGGAAAAAACGACGAATTAAAAACAGTAGAAGAGAATTGTTCAAAATTTCAATTTATTAAAAAAAAAATTCAATTACAAAGCGAGAAAAAATTTGGACAAAGCAAGGCCGCCAACGTGAGTGGAGCAGGCTCTTTGCGTTCGAAGGGTGACGAGGACCGATTTGAATTGGTACCACTGTCTTTTTCGCTGAACTCAGGCCGGCAGATAAGTCACATCAGTCGGCGGCCAATCCTTCGAGAAGTCGTTCCAGCCGATTTTGTCATTTAATTAGCATATTTTCTTTTCGTTTTGCACTTTTTTGAAATATTTTACATAAATAGACATTCAAACGGACGCCACGAGGCGATCGATACCGGTAATCGAAATGGGACGGATTATGCACCTTGTGTTTTTGATCGTAAGTGACATTTGGTTTTAATTTTTTAATTTTTATTTCAATAAATTTCAAATTATTTATATAATAATAAATATAATTTTTAAAGATAATATGTATTGAACATGTTTTATGTTGTTGATATTTCACTAAAACACAATTTATGTCCATATGCAATGTGCATGTATTTCCAATCACAACTATTCATTTAATAATTAAATCTTTTGAAATATGCGATGGTACATAAACGAAATTGAATAATTTTACATGTTAGGAATAATAATTATAGTTTAGTTCCTTTGTAATGTCTTATTTTTAAATTGTGTAAAACTTGTATTCGAGCTCTCTAAAATTTATGTAGTTGACCTTAAAAACGGCCTTAAATTCAAAATTGTTGAACAGGAGCTAATTTTCTGACCGACTCTCCTACGAGTAAGTAGCACAATTGGAAATAAAAGATTGGGTTTATACTGTCTATATGTAAATAAACTACTATTTTTAATTAATTAAATAATTTTTTTTTGACTGCGGGTGTCTGGTTTTTGATGCAAAACTTCCGGCTATCAATTATAGCAAACAATATCTCGAAATTAGCAAAAAAAAATTGAAACCGAAAAAACATGGCCTTTTCTGATGATTCACTCTGAACACAATCGAACAAAAATAATTTTTTTATTTACATAAGTCAACGCTTCTACATTCCGTCGTTTTGTGTCAATTTATATTGAAAAATCCGTTTTCTATCAATAATAATAATATGTAGTCTTAAGCTTTGTATTGGACTGGCACATTTAATGAATGTGTGCATGTATTTGTTTTGGTTTTGGAGTGTGAGACCGAGCAAAAATATGTTTGATCTTGTAAATATTTGTGGTAGAATGTTCCAATTTGCATTTTGCAATTTAGTTATTTTTTAACTAATATTTGATATTTGTACATTTTTCCTCACACTCATTCACATTTCTCTCTCTCCCGTTCTCTCTCTCTCTCTCTCTCTCTCTCTCTCTCTTTCATTCACTCACACTATCTCTCTTTCTCTCACTCTCTCGATCTCTCACTCTCTCTCTCTCCCCCTTATTCTCTTACTCTATCTCCCTCTTACTCCCTCACGCTTTCACTCTCTCTCTCTCTCACTCCCTCCCCTATCAGTCTATCTCTCACTTCAGCGTTCTCATTCTTTCTCAACATCCTTCTCCTTCACTTTTTCTCATTTTTCTCTCTTTCATTTTCTCTTTCCTATTTTGTTCTCTCTTCATTTCCCTATCCCTATTTGTTTGATTTGTTTGTTGTTGTTGATCACCCACTCTCTCTCTCTCTCTCTCTCTCTCTCTCTCTCTCTCTCTCTCTGTTTCCATCTCTCTTTCTCGAGCTATTCGTAGTCATTCATTTTCTATCGCTCTTCCTTTATCTGTTTTATTGTCAATACTATCTATCGTTTTCACATTTTCTCATGCACATTTCTATCTCTCTATCTATTTACCTACCTAACCATCTATTTATTTCTCCCAGGCTACAATTTTTAATCATTTAAATCCATTTTTACTTTAACACGGCTACTTTCATTACTACGCGTGGTTGCCTACGAGGACAGTAAAAGTAGATATAGAAATGCTTCGGAGTCAAATTGTCTTCTTACTTGCAACGTTTACATTTTTATATTTGATTTGCCTTTTGAAAAATAGTTTATTAGAAAGAATCAATTTTCATACTTTTAAAGTTACAGATATTATCATCACAGTATTTAAGTAATTATGTTCAATGTTATAGTTTACTTTCTCAATAATAATTTAATAGAAGTAAAGGATAGTTTTGAAAAGGAAAGATCGTACCTACATAAAGGTACAACAAACAGGTCGACAAGTAAAATGTGACGCTGGTATCGTAGTGATTAATCTGTTTATTTTCGTCGATTCACTAGAGATAACGTAATCACAATGGAACATAAGATAAACAGGGAGTGCTTTGTAAGATCGTAGAGGTGAGCCAGGATTCCTTATAAGTCAGTTTTTTATAGGTATGATAGAATTTTTAATAAAAAAAAAACATGATGTCTTTGGAATTTATTATTGCACTATCGTGAAATTCTAGAATTCTATTTGACAGACATTTTCTCAGAGAACGACGGACGATGGCGATAATACTAAACCCGTCTAACAGCGAGGACGGGCGGACCGGCCAATTTCACAGTACGTTCACGAATCGCGAACCAAATAATAAAACTATTATTAGATAGTTAAGAAAGTCGTTTTGTAAACAGGCATAATTTAAATGTCCTATCACGAATAAGATGTTTAAAACAGGTTTTTTTAACGTTTGGTCAGATTCGAAAGGAATGATTATTAACGGTTAAATCATGAGGCATGCCGATTCGCTTACTATATCCTGGAAAATAATAATCTTTCGCTACAAAATGGCATCACAGCTCTTTTTCTATAGGTCGAGAGTCGATAGAATTGTCGTGGACGGAACATAATCTAAGACAATTCAGTCCATTCAAGGCATATATATTTATCATCTTATTTGAATGTCTGGCAGTGTTCCATCATATTGAAATACATAATATAAAAATATGGTATTCGGAAAAACCTGGCCAACTTGATATAACGGTGGTTCTAGGATATTGCTCAATAAACCTCATATTTTTTGACTGTTGAAACCGAATTTAGACTTTTTTTTTGTTTTCTATTGGTAAAAATAAATCTCGATCAGCCGGAGTTACAATGATCACAAATAGATGTGTCACTTCTTACAAACGAACAATCGACGTAACAGTTATAAAAGAAGAAAACATCTTGACAACGCCTGTGTGTATGTTTGCGGAAGAATTTATCTGGGAGCGGCAGATGCTTTCTCACCTTGGGCGTAACATTCTACTGTTTTATCTCATCGGATAGTTCAAGTATCTTCTTTCGATGATTTCGCCCTTTTCGTTATATAAATTGATAAACATTCAACGGATCTAAAATAAGAATGGATTTATTTTTGGGAGTTTCATAGATGAAACAAAAACACCCGAGCGAGATAAACAATATTGTACAAATAAAACAGGCAAAGTTGGGAATTTTTATTGTTTGTTTACAGGTTTAATTTGCTTTTTGATTAATGGACGTCGCAATTAGTAAACAAATGTGCAACTTAATAATGATAATAAAACTCTATTTATTTGTCCCATTTCAGGGGAAAAATAAAAACACGTATTTGTTATGTTCATCACGAAATCTAATTTCCGGGCACCACTGCTGTGCTTGTGAACTGCCTCTTGGCAGTTTTTGTTAGTGCTTCTTTCAAAAGACAAATCATCTTCTTGCTCGATGGCTGCTTTAATGCGGTTTTGGCAGCCACCCAACGATTCGAAACCCATTAAGCAAATTTCGTGCCAGGAATAGACGAAAATCAGACAAAAACCTGAATCTGACTGTGAAATCAGGTAAAATCAGGTCGATAGGCAGGAGATACTATGCAAACCTTCGATTGCAGTCTGTTGTTTTCAACATAACCAATCTTTACTCTTATTATAAGTATAACCTGATTAAAACAATTTATGATAATAAGCTCACACATACAACTTGATAGCTTCGACGTTTCAAAACAAAGAGGAAGAATTCCAATGACCAAGACCGCTACACGTCTCTTAGGGACACCCCTTCGTGGAAGCAACATGGTATTCAACCGCAAGAATGCTTCTCGATCTTTAAAACAACTCCTAGATATCACAGATTATGTGGACATCCATATTCAGCCAGAAGGCATAGTATAACTGACCAATTTGCAGAATCAAATACTTCAAAAAGTCACTAGTTTTCGTGGTCCGCTTGACCAATTAATATCTTTCAATTAATTAAGGTTTTTAGTTGAGATAAAAAGTCAGCGAGATAAAAAAGGATCGAGGTCACGATAGCTCAAGTGGTAGAGCAGCGGCGTATCTAGCCGAAGATCGTGGGTTCGAATCCCGCTCGTGACACTGATTTTTTTATCTCAACTAAAAACCTTAATTAATTGAAAGATACTTCAAAAAGATTGAATAAACCCTCTTGAAATCGTGAAAACGCTGGAGAATAAGTGGATATCCACAAGTCAAGTGTAATTCGATGGCGTTTCAAAAATTGATTCTTTATACGGAATATTTATATTTTTATATCAGAAAAATCATGAACAACATGTGAGGAAATTTCAGTTAAGAGACAGCGATGAGAGAAAACGTTTGGCCTTGGGTGAAGGCGTATGTCGGTATATAAGAAGCATATCAACTGCCTAAAGAGTCTGCGCAAGATAACCAGCTACCGGTGGATTAAAACAAATATGTATATGCCATCTGTTAATTAAACAACGCCGTTATGATGACATGTGAAAGAAATGGAATTTTTAATGCTTAGCATGGAGTAGGTCAACGAAAGTGGAGGAATTATACTTTTTTTCAGCGGTTGAGGATAGACTCGGAAGACCACTCCGCAGCTAACTGAGACTCACCGAATACAAATTACATGCATCGATGTGTTAACATCGCCAAAATGCGTATTTGGGAGTCCTGTTCAGAATGCTGTATGTGTTAAGGAAATATGTTGTTTTTCAGTTTTCTTGGAAATACTTTTAAATTTGGAGGCATTTGGTCACTTTTAGTGTCCATCTTCTCTCGCAGTTTTGTTGTGCGTTTCGGCTCTACGCCATCTTCAGTGAGATTTCTTACTGTGAGTAGGAACTATCTTTTTAAAAGGATTGAACACCGCACTCACTCCACCACTCATCATCTCTATCATCAGTGAGATGTTTTTCAATTTCCTTGGAAATGCTTTTAATTGTTGATCTTCCGTATTTGCTATTTTTAAGATCTACATATTTTTATGTATTCAGTTAATACTTAACTTTACGTCATTTATTTTTATAAATGATTTTTAATGCTTCATTGTTTTTAGTAAGAGTAGAATTTGGTTGCATTTATTTTGCTCAAATCATTAATAATAATAATCAATAATAATAACGAAAATGGTATTTTCGTAAGTTCGTTATACAAAGATTAATCCTTCACT